ACAGTGTCTGGAAGGGGGTTCCCCAAACTATTTAGAGAGCTAGTACCTTTTGTGTATCCCCAAGACCAAGGAGATATATAAATCTCTGCTGTGTTGTAGTCTGTGTTAACAAAAAAAAACAAAAAAAAAAAAGTAATGGCTTCTAATATTTGTTTTCCAAACATAAATATGTATATTATAATTGATGTGCTTTTTCAATCCACTCATTTCTTCCCCTCTTCCTAGAGTTTCTTATAGACACCTCGCAACTGCCTACGATCCAGCCAGTTCATCATTTAAGAATCATTGCTTTAGACTTCATATTCCTGTTGAGGTTGTTTCCACATTGAAATCACTATAAACAATGCTCTAATAAATATTCTATTAAATATGTCCGCAGGTCAGAGGATCAGCCTCTCATATAGAGTAGGGTTTTCTTCAGTCAGAGGAATATTAATATCTGTCCATCTCTGCTAGACCTTCCAACCACAGAGATTCTTAAGACAAGCTTGAGAATTCTGTTCTTACATCACTCCAGCCAAGGGGAAAGTTTACCTTGTACAACACAATATTGTCCTTGTCTTTTACAGGTAACCATCTTTAAATCAAAAGACAAAAGTGTGATTCTCTAACCAAAAATGTAAAATGATTCTAAGGCTGTGTTTTTCAAATTGCAGGTCCAGACTCATTAGGAAGTCATGAGATCATTTTAGAGTGTCACTGTAAGGATCGTTTTAATGAAATTATAGAATAGAGGATAGAAAATCTCAGGGAGCATCACATGTAGTAAAAGTAGGATTGTTACACAAAACTTTGGGTTCAGTTACAGATCTATGAACACATGTTTATAACTACACATGTATAGGGTCACACAGTAAACTGTATTTCTTACTATGGGTCACAATAAAAAATTTTGAAAAATATACCACGTAAGGTTTCTGAGGAAAACACTGGCCTTGGGAATCATAATTGATCTTAAGGAAAGTCCATCGTGAAGGGTTGTGTGTCAGTTTTGCATTCTCCCTCTTGGTGTGATGTGCCTGTTCCCCTCACTACAAGTTGAGGACTTGCTTTGTCACCTAACCATAGAGCACAGCTGGTGCCCTTGACGTATGTGGGCTATAGGCCCTGCCTCTTCAAGAACCCCCTGGGTTCACAGTCTCAGCAAAAGCTCTAACATACCACGACTCTCCTGTCCACCCCAGCCCCAACCCCACCCAGGCTGGATACCCTCATTAGTTCACATGGACCTAATATGGAAAAGAACATAAGCATTCTAAATGCTCAATACTACATGCTCCAAACACACTCATTAACAGATAGAGAAACGAAGCCCAAAGCAGTAAAGCGACATGTTCTGGGTCACGGAACAGTAGAATGAGAACTAAAACAAGTCACCAGTTTGCCAACCCTAGAATTTTTTTTATTATACCTATATAATTAATAGGTAATGTAGGAAATTTAGAAAATACAGATCAGAAAAGGTAAAAAATATGCATTCTTATAAAAATTATGTCATAACTTGAGTGTTTTTGTAACTTGCTTTTTTCATTAATATGTTCATATATATATATATATATATATGTACTTTCTAAGGATTTTATTGGTGAATTGGGGGAGGGGAACAGCATTGAGGAATCGAGAAAGGGGAACAGACAAGTTGCTGTCCTTTTGTTCTTCAGTCTAGTTGTGGAGGACGTCGCTTCACTGGCCCATGTTGGTATTATCATTGTGCTCTTCCCAAGTGAGGCAGTCGTTCGCCGGCCATTGGACGGTGGCTCACCGCAGCTTACGGTAGCTCATGCCAGCTGCTGACCAGTCCCACTGCAGCCTATGTCATTGCCAGTGACTCACAGCAGCCCAGCTCCAGGTTGAGCTGTTGTTCACCATCTTAGCTGTAGAGGGTTCAGCGTCACTGGCCCTAATGTGGGATCCAAACTGGGGCCCTGCTGCTCAGAGCTCGTGCTCCCAAGCCAACTCTTAACCAGCGTGCCACTCGGTTGGCCCTCAATATTTTTCATATTGTTCAGTCTTTCATTGTACCATAATTCAACCATTGTTGTCCCCTGTCCAATATTTGTTTGCAATTGGGGGAAAAATTATTTTTAAATTACAATTAATTATTAATTGTCCACTGGGGTACGAACACCTTAAAAAATTTCCTGAATTTGATCATCCACTATTTCTTTAACAAATCTCCTTTGCTACCACCCTGTAAAAGACACTTACTCAAAGTTCATATTACTAGTCATATACTTTAATTTTACAAACAGATTTTACAGATGGGGATAGAGGCACTTTCTTATCTGCTAGTTTTTAAATTCAAAAATATGGATTGGGTTTTAATGGTAACAATTGATGGCAGGGCAAGCACCCAGGCAGGGTAGGAATTTGTACCACTGTGGCGCATACAAGAGTTGTTTCTGGAAAGATGTGACTGTCATCAAATATGTGTGTTAAGGCTTTATTAAAATATCAAAAAGACTTCTCCACAGTTAAATGGTTGGGAAATGTTTATTAAGCATCTGTTCTCTTCCAGACACATTGCTAGGCAGTGGAGATATGCACTGTTCAGGGTAAAAAAACAACCTAATAGAGGAAACTGACATTGATCAGATAATTGTCCTATTGAATATGTAATGACAAAGATACGTGCTCTAGGGCAGAAGAGCATGGTGCTCTGAGCCCCCTGACCTGGACTAGGGAGTCAGCAGTGACTTCCCCGAGGATGCAGTACTTGAGCTGGGCTCTGATAGGCGAATAGGCACTAGTCAGATGTGAAGGAATGTTCAAAGTTCCCCAAAAATAGAGGAATCAAGGCAAACAAAGATGGAAAGAAGGCCAGTGTGGTTGGAACACAGAGTAAAGAAGGGCGGCCAGACCAAACAGAGCCTCACAGGCCATGGTAGAGAGACTGATTTGGAGGACTTTATCCTGAAAGCTATAGAAAGCCATTGAAGTTTTAAGCAGGGGATAACATAACCCTGAGTGTCCCAGAGACATCTTTAATTCAGCATGTACAAAATCCAATTTCATTGTCCCTCTTTCTTATTTCCCAGTTTCTGTAAATGGCACTACTGTTCTAGTTAGTTGATTTAAAACTGCCCTCGCAATAAGTCACACACAGAAAGACTGAATGACATACTGTGTGATCTCACTTATATGTGGAATCCAAAGACATCGAACTCATAGAAACAGATGGTTGCCAGGGATTGAGGGGTGGGGGAAATGTTGGTCAATGGGTAGAAACGTTTAGTTATGACTAAATTCCAGGATCTAACATACAGCATAGTGACTATAGTTAACAATATTATATTGTATACTTGAAAGTTGCTATAAGAATAGAGCTTTAATGTTCTTACCATAACAACCACAGCATAATAATTATGTGAGATAAAGGATGTGCTAACTAACTTTATTGTGGTAAGCATTTCGATATATATATATATATATATACATATATATATATATATATATATATGCATCAAATCATCATATTGTACACCTTAAACGCATACAACGTTATATGTCATATCTCGATAAAGCTGGGAAATAAGTATAAAACTGCCCTCTGTCCCTTTACCTTTAATCCAGTCAGTTATCATTTTATTCCTAAATTTATCTAATTCTGTTTCCATGGTATCAAATAGACTAAATCTTTACTGCTGCCATCATTTTAGTTTAAACCCTCTACCTCTTGCCTGGACTATTATGGTAGCCCTAACTTCACCCCCTACCCTCTGTCACCTTTTCCCCCAAACAAATAAAGGGTAACTTTCTACCCATCCTTCAAGGTCCACTTTGACTCCCAGTAGTGTGGTCTCACCTTCCTTTAGGCACTTCCAGCACTTTGTCTTTCTCTTCTCTGAGTTCTAGTATTAAGTAGCTTGAGTGGTAAGACTGTTCTCCTGTCTTCTATTTCCTATGATGAGTGGTTAGCACCTTGTACATAGTACTATTCAATAAGCCTTGATTATAATGGATTGAGAGCAGGGCTAAAATGGACTTTCTACTCCACTTTACTTAGAACAAGCGTTCCCCCACTGAATTTTGCTCATACCCCTCAGACTAGGAAATAGCTAACAGCTTTGCATTGTGCCATGTGATGCCCTCACTTTCCAATGCTGTACCCTGTTACTGAAGAGGAAAAGCAAGGATGATGTTACTTTGTAATCTATAAAGGATATGAACCTTTCTTTAATAGTTCAGAAAATCAAGGCAGAAAATGTGGAAGTGACATCAATGAAGCCTTAGAAGTGTAAGAAGCACCTGAGAGCTTGTAATGGGCCAGTTGTCTCTTGTCGGGTCTGTTGATAGACAAACAGACCCATAAAGAGGTATAGCTACTAATTAGAGGGGCAAAGGCATGTTTGTGACCTTGACCACATAGATAAGGGGGTAGAGTTTCCTGATTGCCTATTCAGGAGTCTTCTAAAAACAGAAGTTCATTCACTCTGACTCAAAAAGTAGGCATTTGATGTGGATTATCCCTGGATGCATTGTACACAGCACTTATTGGAGGAGCCTCCCTTCAATCAGAAGTCTGAACTGTGTTGCTGCAGTCTTGCTTTAAGCCTTGGGTCATCTTGTGGCAGAAGAGAGACTTGGGCTCTGAGGTCTCCAACTATCCCAAAACAGCAGAGGCCTGGGACCCCTGGACCTAATTGGCTTTGGGACAGGAAGGAAGACAGAGGAACCATTTCACATTTGTAGGGTGCTTTCCAGTCTACTAAGCACGGTTAAGCTCATTTTCTAATGTTACCTTCATGACAGCCTGTGAAGTGTGCTGGGCAGATAGCCCTCATTTCATAGATGGGAAAACCAAAGTCACAGGGCCAGTCAGAAATGGAATCAAGGTCTTCTGACTCTTTAACAATTGCTCTCTTTACCCCACCACTACTGAGTTCCAGAATTGGAGAACTATTTAGTAGCACTTGCCACTTAGGTGAATGCTTGAAACTGATTGGTTTGACATGGTCAGCCATTGGCTGAGTCTGGACCCCTCTGCCTTTTGTCCACAGAGCCATGGGGGTGTTGATGTCCAAACGACAGGCAGTGGAACAGGTGCAGAAGGTGAGCCTAGCTGTGTCTGCCTTCAAGGATGGGCTGCGAGACAGGCCTTCCATCCAGCTCACAGGTGAGCTTCCAGGATCCTGCCGTGGCAGTGTAGAGGGCTCTGTCCATGAGGTGCAGGAGGAGAAAGAAGCAGAGGCAAGCACCCCAGTGCTCCAGAAAGAGAGCAGCCTCAAACGTGCGGCCTGGGAGAGGCTCCGAGATGGGCGTGGAGTGGAGCCTGAGGAGTTTGACAGGACCAGTCGTTTCACACCCCCTGCCTTTATCCGCCCTACCCGGAAGCTGGATGATGACAAGCCTCCAGATATCTGCTTGGAGCCCAGAGAGCCTGTGAGTGTCCAATTAGGGCAGAGTTCCTCAAGTCTTAGTCCTTCTGAGGATCAGGGAGCAGGACAGGGAGGCCTGGGTATGGTTGAAATGAGACTCAAAACCAGCAAGATGGAGTTGACTCCAGAATGATCTTTGAGTTTCTTCCACAAGAATAAAAATGTTAGTTACATCTTGAATTAGTCTTAGTGAAAGACTCAAGGCAGTGGGTGACCATGACAGGCCTTCTGCCAGCCCTCCCACCTAAGGGATAGCTCTACCCCCTGTAGGGGGCATTTGGAAATTTGTGGGGGTAGTAGGAGTTTGGGAAGGTCATAGTGACTGTGGGAGTTGCTATTGGTATCTAATGCAAAGAAAACCAGGATCTAAGTGTCCTGCAATGCTTGGGACAATCTCTCACAATGATTCTTTCAAAAAATGCCAGTAGCATTCCTATTCAGAAACATGGTCACAGAGGCCTGAGCAGCTAGAAGAGCCTACTGGTTCTTATCTTCCAGAGAGAAAATGCTGTCGCCTTAACACTGGCTTCAGTTGCAGTTGTTCCTCTAGGCTGCTCCAGACTCAGCCCCCTCAGCCCCACTTGGGTAGCTCTGTGCTTGGTGGCCAAAGGATCTTGCTGTACTTACACATCCCTGTTCATTCCCGTCATCTTTCCCCAGGTTGTCAACGATGAGATGTGTGATGTCTGTGAGGTCTGGACAGCCGAGAGCCTCTTCCCATGCCGGGTCTGCACCAGGGTTTTCCATGATGGCTGCCTGCGCCGCATGGGCTACATCCAAGGAGACAGTGCCGCAGAGGTGACCGAGATGGCCCACACGGAAACAGGCTGGAGCTGCCACTACTGTGTGAGCCTGGACTGCAGGGACAGTGGGCTGCTGTACCACAGGGGACCTGGCATTTTTCCTAGAAGCCCCGCCTTAGAACGCTGGGTTCTAGGCAATGACCTAAAGAGTTTTCCAGTAGTGGGTATAAGGTTCCTAGAGCTAGGACAGGCTTTCTCTGCTTCAGTACTATTGACATTTGGGGCACAATACTTCTTTGTTGTGGGGGCTGTGTGCATTGTAGGATGTTTAGCAGCTTCCCTGGCCTCTATCCCATTCGATGTCAGTAGCATCCACCCCGTTGTGACAACCAGAAATCCCTCCAGATGTTACCAGATGTGTCCTGGGAAAGCAAATCACCCCCAGTTGAGAACCACTGAGCTAGAGGACTGAATGGATAGGGTGAGGCCTAATTACTCAAAAGTAATTCTGCTTGGAGCAGTGCTTTCTCTAATAGTCTGTAGTTGTCATTCATTGTGCTCATCTGAAAAACCAACCTGAAAGCCTAATCAGCTTGCATCTGATAGGGACAGATTCTATCACAGGAAAACTTCTTAGTCCTGAGATACTCACTTGGCCTACCACTTAACTCTTGGGAGTGTTTATTCTTCATTATGTGATCATTATGTGAATTAAATAACAAATTTATTGATTCAGAACTTTGCAAATTACATATAAACTCCTTTCAACTTTTTAAAAGACAAAAAGCCAGATTCGTATGTCTTTCTCAGCACACCTGAAGAGAATTCAATTCTTGCTTTATTGATCTGCTATCCTACAGATGACTTCATTATTCATTGATTTTGGAGTAAGGAGCATCTGCTGATCCCCCTCTTCTTCCTACTGCCTAGAACAGCGGTTCTCAACCTGTGGGTCGCGACCCCTTTGGGGGTCGAACGACCCTTTCACAGGGGTCGCTGGGTACTCGTATGTGGGCGTATCTGCATGTGGGCCTGGAGACAGATAGAGGAGCGGTCTCTCAGTTCCTAAGACCATCAGAAAATATGTTTTCTGATGGTCTTAGGCGACCCCTGTGAAAGGTTGAGAACCGCTGGCCTAGAAGAAAGCAAAGATGTGCCACTTTCCAATAATTCTTTCTGTATGGCTTGTCCATAAAATGAAATCCACAACAGTTACTGCCAGCCACTTGAACATCTTCCCCAGCTGGCATATGCCACAGAAGATCATGCTCTACAGACAGTCTTTTCTCGTCCCCACTCCTCCAAATGCCATCCTTTTCACTCTGCCTTGCAGTGGTCTGCTACCGTGGGCCTTGGTTGAAGGGTCTCCTTTTTTTTTTTTTT